CAATCCAGATTCAGAGTACGTACGGGTACTACATAACAGAGATACTATGTGCACACCTACTGTACATGTATTTCAAACCATTATTTCCCTTTTATATCCAGATAGCTGAACAGATTTTCAGTCAGGGTTGGTGCTGCTTAGCTTCTGAGCCTAAACATGGCCATCAGCCTAGGCCAGGGGTAGGCAACCTTGGCTCTTTTATGACTCAGGAATTCTGGGAGTTGAAGTCCACGAGTCATAAAAGAGCCAAGGTTGCCTACCCGTGGCCTAGACATTCTAAATGGAGTCCCTCTGAATGAGTTCATTTTGACATCCATAATGTTTAGTTTTTTCCATTTTTGCCGGTGGGAATATGAACTGTGTTCCTGAGAAAACCATTTCATTCCTAACCTTTGGTGAGTTAATTCTGCTCAGTTATTGGAATAGTGAGAGTTAACCAATTTACAGACAATTCTGTACAATTTTAATAAGAAGACCATTAACTGCTTATGTATTTCTGTTTTTAGACTTTGTCTTTCCAGCACTAGATATTCTTCGATTAGCAGTCAGACATCCCAGTGTGAACGAAAGCTTCTGTGGCGAAAAAGATGGTCTTCGGTTCTGCAGTCATCTCATCAAATTCCTGAACCCTGGAGGAAAGCAAGCCAATCAGATGCTGGCTCTGCGAACTTTATGCAATTGTTTTATTCACCCAGTTGGCCAAAAGCTCATGTTGGCACAGGGGGACTCCATAATGTCACAAGCAATAGAACTGAAGCTGAGCAGCAATAAGAACATTCACGTTGCACTGGCTACGTTGGCTCTAAACTATGCCGTTTGTCTACATAAAAATAACAACATTGAGGGCAAAGCTCAGTGTTTGTCAGTGATCAGCACAGTCATAGAGATAGTGCAAGACCTTGAAGCTATTTTTAGACTGCTTGTGGCTCTTGGGACATTGATCAGTGATGATTCAAATGCTGTACAATTAGCCAAGTCCCTAGGAGTCGATTCTCAAATTAAAAAGTATTCCTCTATATCAGAACCAGCTAAAGTAAATGAATGCTGTAGATTTGTTCTTAATTTGCTGTAAACCTTTTAAAAAAACACTTGGGAGTCTAGGACTATATCAAAGATGCCCATTTTCATATTTTACAAAAAAAAATATTGTGGGCAAACTCTCTGGAATTGAAATGATCTGAATAAATTTTTTGCACTGATTTTAGAAGTGTTTTTCTTCAAAGCTGTTAAGTGTGTGCTTATTTTAAAGGTAATTTTAATACCTTCTGTGGGTTAGGAGTAACAAAAATTACTAGGGAAATCTTGATTCCTTGACATGTATGACATATCTGCTGCCTTTCATCAGACAGAAATTACTTGCACAATGGATTCTCGTTTCTTTGAGCGCCTCCATTTTGGTAAAACCATCTAGAGTCGATTTGTATAGGGGATTAGATCCACATGGCTGCAAAGAAGAGGGGACTGAAAGAGCTGGAAGGAAAAGTTAACTTTAAGTTTCTATTTTGGAAGAAATTCCAGCAATGTGTTTTGATATTGAGCTTTTACATTGTGTGACACTACTAATAGTGGTCTTGATTCTTTATGAAAGTTGATTTCCCACATACAGTACATGTCTTTTTAACCACTGTTATAGAAAAATTTAGCATACCACAAAATAGGTCTTTTGTATTTCCAGGTGTACTGTGCTCTTTTTCATTTTTGGTTATCTTTCTATAGAATGTTTCTTCAGAATACATATGGTTCTATCTTTCTCTGAATTTAGTGATAACCTTCCCAGTGTTGAGTGCAGTGTTATCTTCAGCCAGCCAGATTTGCAAGAATAATGCTACAGAGTATGAGCTGTCACATTCATATTGATGAAATGCTCGTTCTAAAGTCTAAGCCCTTATACCTAAATGTCAGCATTATTTCTTAGTTCCTTATCAGAAACATGCAGCTCCTATGCTTATCATTTCTTCTGGATTTAGAAATGCAGCTTCAATACTAAAAATATGCAAATAATTATTTCCATTTTGAAATGTTCTCAATTTATTTTGGGAAGTTTCCTTTATAGGAGGTGGCTTCTAATTGAAATGGAAATTATAAATAAATTTTGTGTGAGACCTATCAAGTTTCAAAATCAAAGTCTGAATATTACATTTAACAGGATTAATAAGATATTCCAAATTTCATATACCCTGCTAAGACACAAACAGATTGCAAACTACAATGTTTGGGTTGAGAAAATGTGTCAAACTATTATCCACTGTAGCATAAAAAGTAGCCCATCATGGCTTAGTGTAGGAATACAACAATTCCTATTTTGTGTTTCCCTATGTTCAAACAACCCCCATATGAATGTGATATATTTGAAACAACCAAATTGACTAATTCTGATCACAACAAACGACAGTAGTTGAAAAATTACGTGAGTGGGCGTCAGAGGGGTCCTTGGTGCTCGCTGAGCTTGGTTGTTCTCTTGTAGATGTTTCATTACCCAAACTAGGTAAACATCAGTGCTCATCATCACTGGGAGTCTATACGCTTCCCTAAATTACAGGAAGTTTCCTTAGTCTTGGTGTGGTATATAAGGAGAGTTCTCAAACCTTTCTGTCTTAGATTTGATGCCAATGTGTAAAACAATCAGAATGTCATAGGCTAAGTTTGAGTAACAAATAATATCTTAGCATCAGATATTAATCTACAATTGGTTTGGTTTGCACAATACAGCTGAGACCATTCAAAGTTATGGAGATAACAAAAATGTCAGGTTCAGCAGACATATATCTTACTGCGTTAGATGGTTGTAGTTCTCTTGCTTTTTACAGTTACCAGGTGATGTTGAAGAAGATGGACCTCTGACTCTTTATAAATCATAGACATAAAAGATGAACACATTACACTCACTTCATTTTTAGAGACCGCTGGCATGGCTACCTTTCTGTACCTGTGATCAAAGGTACAAACGGTTGCTTTGGCTTGCTGTGAAATTGCCCTATTGCTTTGCTGCCCGTTTCACATTCAAAATGTTTCAATATTCTCTGCAGAGAGTTAGTTTTAGAAAGCTGCTAGGATCAAGAGAGAACATTTGCAGGCAAATGTATTGGCTCTTCAAGCAGAATAGATTTACTCTCTGAAGGGCTAAAGCAATTACCTGGAAACCTGGCAGGTGTTATGACCCAGGTGGTCAAGGCAGGCCTCTAAGGCTAGCAGGCTCTTTAACCAAATATATTATCAAAACAGAATACATCTAAGCTCATGGACTATAGAATTAAAATCATGGATATTCTGGCATGACTATATACCGGGGCACACGGAACGCTGTTACTTTCTACCAAAGTGGTACCTATTTATCTACTTGCATTTGCATGCTTTAAAATTGCTAGGTTACCAGGAGCTGGGGCAAGGATTTGGGTCTCAAACTGCCAGCCTTCAGGTCAACAAGCCAATGTCTTAACCACTGGTCAAAAAAAAAAAGGTGCACAGTCATGAATCTTTTTGAGTGTAAAGGATTTTTTTCAAAAATGAGTGATTTTCATACAGTATTTACATTTATATTTTCAATTTCTTATAATGCAACTCAGGTACAAATAACAGATCTGAGCACAAGTGTTCATAAATTCAAATACTATTTAGACTGGAACCACTGAAATTCATAGATCATAATTATAGTGATCTACCAAATCATACAAATTATAGAACCCTACTTTTCACAACACTAACATTGTGCAAAATTATAAATCAAAGCGAAGACTCTCATAAAAATTTATATTTTACAAGGGAACACACAAATGTCAGATTTCATAATCTATCTTCATGATTAATAACTGACTTTAAAAAATCAACTGTTGAATGAGACACTGGGAAAAATTAATTATCCATGATTGTTAGGATACACTCCCCTGGACAAATTTGATTTATTATTAGATAGTATCTAATAATAAATCAGATTTGTCCAAGGGGAGTGTACCCTAACAATCAGGGATCTATTCCTTTTACTTGTATGATAATCAATGAGCCCAGGAATTTAGGATGAATTAAAGTACTGGATGTGGGCTAAATGGCAGCAATCTGAGCAATTTTTATTGAAGCCGGAATAATTCTAAGGTCAGCTTTGGGTTGATAATACAGGTAGTCCTTAACTTATGACCACAATTGAGCCCAAAATTTCTGTTGCTAAGTGAGCCATTTGTTAAGTGAGTTTTGGTCCATTTTATGACTTTTCTTGCCACAGTTGTTAACTGAATCAAAGTGTTAAATTAGTAACACTTTCAAGTGAATCTGGCTTTCCCATTTATTTTGCTTGTCAGAAGGTTGCAAAAGGGGATTACATGACCCCAGGACACGTTAACCATCATGAGTCAGTTGCCAAGCATCTGAATTTTGATCACATAACACACAGAGGTCGTGTAAAAAACAGTCATAAGTGTGAAAAATGGTCACAGGTCACTTTTTTCAGTGCCGTACCTTCAAATGGTCACTAAATGAATTGTTGTAAGTCGAGGACTACCTGTAATGTACTGTATAGGAAAGCTCAGTAACCAAAAAACTCTTTGCCAATTGCATCCAAATAAAAGATGCTTCAAGGGACCAGAAGCGGAGGGGTTAACTTGAAAAACAGGGAAACTGTGCAGACTTCCCAAAGATGCTTTTTCACAGTCAACTGGCCTTTGTTTTTCTTTGAAGGCATTTCGCTTCTCATCCAAGAAGCTTTTCAGCTCAGAGTTGAAGAAGCTTCTTGGATGAGAGAAGAGAAACGTCTTCAAAGAAAAACAAGGAAGTCCAGTTGACTCGTGAAAAAGCATCTTTGGGATAACTATGACCTGGATGACTGAGAATCTCCATAGACATAGGTCAGATTTCGTCTGCTATCTCTCTATAAAAAAATTAAGATTTCTATCTCTATGGCGAACAAGTCGTAAGAATGACGTAATCAAACTGCGACAGGGGTCCAGCTGAGCGTAACGCGCGGATCTCTTGATCCAGCCAGTCGCGAGATGGCTGTTTGATGCAGTTATTTATTTATTTTTCAAGACGCTTTAAAGGAACTGCCACCGTTTCGGGGAGGCGGACGCCATGACGGGCCGTAAATTCTCTAAGGAGAAGAAGCGACACCGCTCGCGTTTAAGCTGCCCAGAGGAAGGAGGCGGCAGCGAAAGAAAACGGCGGAGCACTGAGGCAGCCCGCGGCCCTCTGGAGGTATCACAGTCCGTCAGCCTTGCGGGGGGGGGGAGGAGGAAAGAGGGGAAACGGCTGAATCGCGCAGGCGCAGAATACAGTTATCGGAGCCACGTGACAGGGAGAGGCAGCTTCATCCTGTCCCTTCTTCGCGCGTCTGTTTTGGCGGGATTGTAGCTGTCTCGTTTTTAATCTCTTAAAACTCGCATTACATAAAAAAAAAGAGCAGAAAAGCCAAGAAAATCCGTATCTTAGTTCAATCAAATCAAGTAATTAGATTGTGAAGTGAGCTCACCACATCATATGCCTTTTAATAGCATTTCTTACTCAGAAAAAGGTGCTACCGGGCTCCTGGTTTTCTGGAAATTAGGAGCTTGGTAGCATCTTGTCTGAGTAAGAAGTTCTATTAACGCTTCTAAACTGTCTGTGGTGGGTGAATCCAGAAGATTGGTTGACGGAGTAAATTCTAGTTAACCATGAGCAAAAATGTGCTTAGGGAAAGCCTCAGCTGCCGTTAACACGCAAGCTACTTTAGTCTCTGGAACTTAATAGGGCAAAATATTCTTAGAAAGTACTTAAAATATTAAGCTGAACTAGGTAGGCCATCTTAGAAGGGAAATTAGTGCTTTTTTATTACACAGAAACAAGAGTGTCAAGTGCATACATTAGAAAGGAATGTAAGGACAAATGTTAAGGCTCAGCAACAGAGATATAGCATGCCAATTAGAACATGAGAAATATGGCTCTATCTATCTATCTATCTATCTATCTCTATCTATCTATCTATCTCTATATCTATCTATCTATATCTATATCTATCTCTCTCTATATCTATCTATCTATATCTATATCTATCTCTCTCTATATCTATCTATCTATCTATCTATCTATCTATCTATCTATCTATCTATCTATCTATCTATCTATCTATCTATCTATCTATCTATCTATCTATCTATCTATCTATCTACCTACCTACCTACCTACCTACCTACCTACCTATCTATCTATCATTTCCTATGCCACCCATCATCCAGGTGACTATTAGGAAAATAAAACTTGAAAATTTTAGAAGTAGGTATGTGCAATCTAGCTGTTTTGCACCTGACTATAAAATGTCTTTGCAACCTTTGCCAGTGTATTTGCCTTGTGTGTCAAATAAAACTTGAACGCTGAATGATGGCATCTGGTGTTTCGACCTGAGCAAGGAATGAACAAAAGGAAAACATTTAACGATCGTAAAAGCACGTTATCCCTGCAAATGTGAGGAGGGGGCTGTCTGATGTAACTGGTAGGGTCTGCATTACTGTATTTCCAGCAGTAAAGTATCATTTCAGATTAGGATACAGAAGTGGAAGTTAATATTTCACAGAAGCAATCCTGCAAGGCAGGTAGAGAGCTGTCTCTGCAGAATATCCTCCTGTATTACATCAGTGGTTGGATGCAAGGTATCACTCCAGTTTACTTTTTCTTTTTGGAGTGGTGATCACACTTGTAAACTAATCATTTGGCTGTGCCCACTCAATGGGGGAGTGCCACACTGGAGGTGGTTGATGAATTAAGAGGCAATCCCACCTCCCCACTCTGTGCATCCTGCTCTATTCCTTCCCATCTTCTAATTATAACTTTATCTTTGATCGTAATTTCATTTTTACCATTTTAGAAATATTTATCTTTTTATGGTTGTAATGTTTTTAATGCTGTAAGCTGCCCAGAGTAATTGCTAAATAAGATGGGCAGAAAATAAATAAGCAAACAAATAATACACATCTAATGGAAAGCAAATCCCAGTTCCATGTGTATTCATACATAGTCTTACAGTCTGTTGGCCTTTTCTATGTGTTTGTGAATTGTGACTTTGGCCTTCCTACTTGGAAAGAATGCCACTGAATATGACAGTTTTTTCACTGATCCTTAGAACATACTTGTTGGATGTAATAGGATTTAATAATATCATTCCAGAGTAAAATCTAGATTTTGCAGTTAAATTTATTAAAAGGTCACATAGTTAACATACTTCATAAAAATTTCATTCCTTTTTTTACTGATGTACAGGTAGTCCTCAACTTACAATTCATTTAGTGACTGTTAAAAGATACAACAGCCTTGAAAAAATGACTCATGACTGTTTTTCACACTTACAACCGTTGCAGCATCCCCATGGTTACATGATCAAAATTCAGATGCTTGGCAACTGACTCATACTTATGATGGTTAGAGTGTCCCTAGGTCACGTGATGCAACCTTCTGACAAGGAAAGTTAATGGGGAAACCAGATTCACTTAACAACCACAATGATTCATTTAACAACAGTGGCAAGAAAAATAATAAAATGAGGCAAAATTCACTTAAGAAATTTTTCACTTAGCAGCATCCATCTTGGGCTCAATTGTGGTTGCAACTCGAGAACTACCTGTAATAGCACAAATTATGTATGATATATGGATTCACTTGTGAGTAATCCATATTGAACTCCATGAGACTGAACTGTCAGTTCTTTGTCATAGTTTATTTGCTGACAATATTACAGTCAATCAAGTTTGTATTGGTTATTTTTGTGTGTGTCCTATTTTAGGAAACCAAGTGTATTATTGCTCAGGTTCCAGAAAAGAAAGATGTGGTAGAAGAACCCAGTGACATAGAAGAAGGTGGACTAGATCTGACTGTGCAATTAAAGCCTGTTAGTTTCTATATTACGGACAAGAAGGAAATGCTTCAGCAATGCTTTTATATCATAGGGGAGAAGAAATTGCAGAAGATGTTGCCTGATGTTTTAAAGGTATTGAAGTATATCAAGTAGAGCTGTGCAAATTCTTTTAAAAAGATGCTTCACAATACACTGGAATTACACGTTACATACTTAAAAAAAATATTAAAAAGCAAACATGTTTTTAACCATGAAGTATACTGGTTGTGCATACCCATTGCCAAGAATAACTTCTGAAAGTTATTTATGAGCCTAAAAAAAGATGCAGCTTTTAAAATTGTTCTTAAAAAAAAGTGCTTCATGTGAATATTTATGTTGTCACATTTAAGAGAAGACTGAGTTTGTGTGTGTGTGTGTGTGTGTGTGTGTGTGTGTATGTGTGCGTATACACGTCTGTGGAGATTCTCAGTCATCTGAGTGTTTTTTCAAGAGGCAACCCGACTTTCTTGTTTTTCTTTGAAGGCATCTTCTTCGAACTGCCCCACACCCATTTGCACTACTCAGGTGATCCTGAGGACACAGACAAACACCCAAGTGGCATCAATGACTCCCTAAAAGAATGCAAATGACCAGCTGTCTACAAGGAATATAAATCCTTCCATTCCCCACCATCCAGTCAGAGCTGAAGAAGCTTCTTGGATGAGAAGCGAAATGTCTTCAAAGAAAACAAGAAAATCCAGTTGCCTCCTGAAAAAGCATCTTTGGCACGCACGCGCGCACACACACACACACACACACACACACACGCACACAAATGAGATACGGCAAGTTAATAAAATTTTAAATACAGGTTGATATTAAATGTAATAATTTAAAACTCTTACTATATTTTTTTATCACAATAATGGTACGCATTCTTTTTACTTACTAGCTATCTTTAATTGGGGTTGAAAATGTATTTTAAATCAAACATTTTCAAAAGTGTACTTCAGTGTAGGGGCCTTTTTGAAATATGGTAAATTGGATAAAATAACTTGGTTTAGTAAGCCAGAAATTAAGAGTACAGAATGTAGGGTTTGCCAATTTGCTTTTAATCAGTTTTAAAGATTTAATGTTAAACCATCTCTCCATTATCACCTGGGCAGACTATCCTTAATTTCTTGCATTTTTCCTATTGAAAAACTATAACTTTGCATTCTCTGCCTGTGGATGACATTCTTTTTCTCAGTTGAAGTCAGGTGTGGCTTTAGTTTATTTTCCTCCAAATTGTTCCCCAACTGTGCACATTTTAAAAAAAGTTAAAAGAAAAGGTTTTACCTACCATATATTTTTGAAAGGAAATTACTGTTTTCTGTTTGTTATCTATTATTTATTGCAATACCACACCTACAGTTGAATATCTTCAGAACTAGACATCTTTATCTCGGTCTTACAACCGTACCAATTGTAGTGTGACTTTTTTTTACTGATTAAAGTTCTCACTGATTCATCAAGTAAGCTGTAATTGATTAACCTGCCAATTAAACACTGTGTCGTTATTTGGTGTGCATCTTATATAATTGTAAGATGGTTCAGTAGTGGTTTATATGGATTAAATAATTCAGCTATTAAAACTGCTGTAAAGACAGCTAGTGTTTATATATTTGTATATGGATGTATATTAATAAATTCTGTGGTATAAATGCTGATGTACAGTCCTTGGAATAAATCAGACTGGAAATGTAAATAACGTTAATTACTGTGGCATATGGAATAATGTAATATATAATTACAGCTTTTCCAAGGGGATATTAAAATTTTCTTTAATTGGACATAACACCAGATAAGAATGTGGCAACCTGGCAGTTTATAAATAAGTCATTTATAATTAAAGAACATACTACTCCCAAAGGATTTTTGACATCTTTTCCTGAAAATAACTAACTAAAAATCAGAAGCAAGCAAGATTTAAAACTAAAACGGAAACAACATTAAGGTGTTACTATTCAGTGCTTCTTAAGAATATTGATGAAGCTTTTAGCTGAGAAAGGTAGTAATATTCAGTTGTGATATCCTAAATCTATCTCAGTTTTTCTTTAGAATAATTACTTTTGTAAAATTATTTTTAAAAATTAAAACATATTTTTAAATTAAAATATTTTTTTTAAAGGGGACAGATCAGCAATTGTAAAAAAAATTCAGAACACCCAGAAACAATGCCTGCTTAGAAGACTGCAGTTGGGGTCTGCTAGGAAAAAAGTTGAGATTGTTGGCGTGGTTTCAGAAAGTGAAATGCTAAACATTTGTGGGATTTCTTGACCCCTTGACTGTTCTGACAATAAAAAAGTACACCTCTAATATTGGAAATGCTTTGGGGCCAGGAAACACATTGGAATTTTGAGTATCCAGAATGGCTGCCCTGGGATGTCCATTCATAAAATAGCTGTGGTGATGATTGCAAGTTCCAAATCTATTTCAGACAAGGGCAAATTACTAGGACTTAAAAAAAATAGTAACTTTACCACAAAACAGCTTTACTGAACATAATTCATAGTTCCTTTTTATTATTCACCAACACTTACTCCAAAACATTTTTTCTCTTTAATCAACGATTGATGTATAAGACACATCCCAACATGTATCTTCTGCATCAAATGTGGATCTCAGCATGTTCTCTCTGTTTTATATATCACTGATATATAAACTGCCAGTTTTTCCACATAACTCTGTTTTCTCTGTAGTTCTCTCTGTTGCAATCTGGATCATTCTGTTTTCAATGAAAACAATTAGTCAATGGAACAGCTTGCCTTCCCGAGTTGTGGCTGCTCCATTGTTGGTGGTTTTCAAGAAAAATGGACAGCCATTTGTCTTAGATCAGTGGTTCTCAACCTGTGGGTCGGGACCCCATTTGGGGTCGATCGACCATTTCACGGGGTCGCCAAGCAAGGCTGTCCTCCATTTTTTTTGTCTGCCATTTTTTTGTCCGCCATTTTTTTCCCGTTTTGCGGCGGGTGCCTTACCTCCCTTGAGCTGGGCCAGCTGGTGGTCGGCCTGCTCCATCTCTGCCGCTTGCCAGCTACTCCTCGGCCGGCACGGGGCGGAACCACGCATGCGCGACGCTCCCGGGCAGGGAAAGTCCTCGACTTACGACCGGTTGGGTAGTCCTCGACTTACGACCGGTTTAGTCCTCGACTTACGACCGGTTTAGTCCTCAACTTACGACCGGTTTAGTCCTCGACTTACGACCGGTTGGGGTCGCGGCATTAAAAAGGTTGAGAACCACTGTCTTAGATGGAATAAGGACTCCTGCCTAAGGCAGGGGTTTGGACTAGAAGATCTCCAAGGTCCCTTCCAGCCTTGTGATTCTATGATTCTATTGGATTGGTCATGTAAATAAAACATGTCTTTAATCCATAATGATAATTATGCCAATAAATATAAATAATTGATTATATATATATATATTTTAAAACAGCCACTTTAAAATCATCTAAAAACAGCAGAGCAAGTGATGTTCTAGTATATTGAGCATAGTTCACTATATTTTTCTGATTTAATACAATATATGTATTTTAAAAACAAACCCAGATTGATAAAAAGAATATATAATTACTTACATATATTTTGATCAATCTGTATAAATAAAAATGTAAATGTTTGTTTGTTCAAAATCATAAATCTCCAAAAGTTCTTCACCGATTGCTTTGAAATTTTGACACAATGTTGCATTCGAATACGCGCGTGTTTTTATATACCTATATTATATAGATGTCACACCTGTGACAGGTAAAAACATGCTTTTTTTGAAAAACAGCGCCATCTGTTGGACGTAAAAGCAACACACGCTTTTACCAGACTGAGCCACAACAACGTGTGGCTGGGTACAGCTAGTAGTTTAATAAATATTTATCATGATTTAATAATGTATTAGGTTAATATGTCATTTTAATTGTATTCCTTCTATTCAAAAACATAATATTCAAGTTCTAAATCATGCATATCTGGATTTCTGTTATTTTTACATTGTTTTATGTCACTATTTTATTTTAATATTACTGTTTAAAGTCAACTTTTTTGTTCCTTGTTTTAGTGAGTTTAGATTTAATTAGTAATTATAAGATTTTAAGTTTGTTTCAAGCATGTTTAAATTTGTCTTATGTAAAGTATCTCTTGTTTTAATTATTGTATAAAAACATTTCTTTTTTATTTCATTTAGAACTGTTCTATAGAAGAAATTAAAAGGCTTTGTCTTGAACAGTTGGAACTTATGTCGGAAAAGAAGTTATTGAAAATTCTTGAAGGTAAAATCATATATACTGAACTAAAATTTGGATTGCTTATTGTAAAATTTGAGAGTGACAACTACTGAAGACTAGATGAGGACTAGATGAAGACACAGCTTTGTATCAATTAAGAAAATTAGAAATATTTTTGTAGTAAAAAACTAAATACCATATATATGTTTATTCAGATGTAACTTTTACTGAGTTCAGCAGGATTTATCTGCAGATCATATATATGATCTGGAAATAAATATATGTATATGATTAAAACCTGTGTGTCGTTCTAGACATCAGTTGTAGCTACTAAAATCAGAATTTAGATATCTGAATTAGAGACGACAAGAATTGAAGCCTTCTATTTTATGTGGTGCCATTAGATTAATTATTGAGCTTCAGACTATGGAGTAATTCATAGCAAAAGGAATCAGTAGCCTTTGCTTTAAGAGTGCAAAATATATATCCTTTGCTTAGAATTACAAAGTTTGATCATTTTGGCTGTATGGGTATCTAAATATATTTGCATTATCTGAAAAAAAGAAACATCTTTCGTTTCTGTCACGTCAAGGTATCCCCATTGACTTAGCTTGTCAGAAGGTCACAAAAGATGATCACATGAACCTGGGACTCTGCAACCATCTTAAATAATGAATCAGTTGCCAAGCATTTGAATTTTGATCATGTGACCATGGGGATGCTGCGATGTCATGTGAAAAATGTTTTTCAGTGCCGTTGTAACTTTGAATGGTCAATAAGCAAACTGTTGCAAGTTGAGGACTACCTGTACTGTCATGCAATAATTATCGCTACATTTTCAAATTCAAGCTTTGGCAACTGATAATATCAGGGATTGAAACCTAGGACTTTTTTCACGCAAAGTATGCAAAAAAACACTGAATTTTCATGCAAAGTATGCAAAAAGCATCTTCCCCCTTATTCTTGTGTCTTACTGAAACAAGAGCAGCTCCCATTTTTATATCTTCCAACTGTTCATCAACATTGCCTGTCTATTAAAATAGCTTCAGCCCAATCTTCTGCCAGACCTACAGATAAAGACAAGGAAATTGTATTGCAGGACAGAATGAGAAACCAGTGCTGGGATTTGAGGAAGATATTATATGATTTGGATGAAATAAAGTCAGAGTCTGAATAGAAGTGAAGTGATGGCAGATGTTGATAGAGAAGGTCAGTTACTGTAGGGAAAGCAAGATAGGACTAGAATATAAACACCAAACATCCATTTACTCTGTCCTTATGAAGAAAGCATAAATTCTACTTTGTAATTGCAGTATGAGTAGAGAATTGCCAGTGCCCTTACTTGGCATCAAGGGCAGCTTCTCCCACTAAAGGTAGATGTGATTACTGGGATATTGTTACGATATTTAGTAGCTCAGCCCAAATTAGTAGACCCGAATGTATAGATATGGGCATTTAAAGAACCTCATTCATTAATTATACTATGATTTTGTTGTGTGATATGTTTATATAGTCCTAAAGCAGCAGAGTCTTTTTTGAAATTGTGGATCCCCAATGAACACTAAGTAAAAAAGAATGTTTGTATATGCAGTAGACAAATACAGCAGTTGTCTATAATATAATTAGGATAAGGCACTTCTAGCAAATATAGGGAAATCTAGCTAGACTCTCTCTAAATATGGGGAAATTTAAGATTAATATTTTCAGAGTCAGAGTTACTCACAAATGTAATACCTTTTTCTTACTTTGCAAATTAAAGATTGGAAGTTGTTTTGCATGTATCTTTTATATTCGTCTTAATGAGGATTGTTTTTGTTTATTCAAATTATATGGTTGCGCAATTCAAAATACCTGGGCAGTTTACAGTAAATTTAGAACCAAATGCAATATCAAAACTTAAAAAGAACTGAGGACAATTATTCAGTGCCATAAAACATATCTCTAAAGATGTCTCAGATTTGTCTTACTCAGCTCTTCAATGCTTTCTGAAAGGACAACAGGAACTCCATTCATATTTTGGGAGATAAGCTGTTCCATCAAATTATTGGGTACGGTGGGGAGGTAAGCAGGCACCATGACTTGGAAAGTATTCTTTCTGAGTCCATGAGATAGCATTGCTTGATGGAAAGGACTTGATTTCTGCCAACTCTGTTGGATTTGTTGGGTTGGAATTCCCGGGTAAACTATATATGAAACACAACTAGATGAGCTAAATCTACTTTATTGTAAGGCTACATTAACAGAATCTTTCAAGTCTAAAAATGCCAACTTCCTGCCTGCCACTTGTAACTGCTAGACCTGTTAGGGCGGGTCCTTTCTAAGTTTCCAGGGACTCTTCTGGCTTCAACGAGCCGGCTACCACCGGCCCGTGTTCTCCGAAGTATCACCCCTTGGTGGCCACCTCTCCAGGGCAGCTTTCGGTCCCGACAGACCCACCAGCAAATGAAAATTGGACCCGGGGAGTGGAGAGTCTTTTCCCTGGGTCTATCTTCAGTGACGTCACCGGAAGCATTCACGTCACCGGAAGCACTCTTGGGCTTCTGTCTTTCTTGTCTGATAATTTCACAGGCAACATCTCTTCTCCCCTTTATTCAAGATTATCCATGCATTTCATTACATGTTGCGACAGGCAGAATTAATAAGAGACAAATGGTTTGCATATAACTCAACTCTGTGCCATGAAGAAGTTTATAGATGGCAGCATTTTTAATTGAATCAGGAAGCTTATTGGAAGCCAATGCAGCTCATAGAGAGGTGGATTAACATGGGCATGTCAAGGTATGCCCATAACTTCCCATGATTCCACATTTTGGACCAGCTGTAGGTTCTGAATGGTCAGATGATAACTACACGAAGATAAAACTCTGCCTATGCTTATTAGCAATGATTCTGCAGGGTTCCATGTTGGAGATGATAGAGTTGTTGTTCATGAAGAAGAGCAATAGCACTTAGACTTATATATCGCTTCATAGTGCTTCACAGCCCTGTCTAAGCAGTTTACAGAGTCAGCATATTGCCCCCAACAATCTGGGTCCTCATTTTACTGACTTCAGAAGGATGGAAGGCTGAGTTAACCTTAAGCCAGTGAGAATCAAACTGCTAGCATTAGAATTAGCCTGCAATATTGCATTCTAACCATTGTGCCACCATGGCTCCTGACATAAATGTGGGGTATTTTTCCCTTGGGTATAAATATGGAGCAACTACTAGCCAGCCAATGCTTATCTTAAAACAGCCTGCTACTCTTCTAGGATAGAGTATACCTTTAGAGCTTGCAGTACCTCTTATTACCAACTGTCTATAAAATGCAGATATTTCCTTCACTGATTACAATTTGAGATTACTTATTTCAAGCCCCTTTCTGAAACAGATGGACTACCTCTTCCTTGACAGTGATAACAGTATTTATTGGTGAATAACATTAAGACAGAAAAATGCTATCAAAACATAACATCTCATATTGACATTTTATTTTAAGGTGAGGATGGGGTGGATTCTGACAGTGATGAGGAGACCAATGGTGCTGAAGAAAAGACAATAGTTGAACCAGCCAGTCAGTAAGTAATTGCCCATAAATTAATTATATTTGTTCTTATATAGTTTGTTTTAATTTTGTCTTGTAATAAAGCTTTAGTTGGAAATACTTATAAAATGTCAGCAAAATTCCAGCTGAAACTTTGTCAAAACATGGGATGAACTGTAGAAATGTTGGTGAAAATTTATGAAATCTTGCTGCAGTATGACAAATGAACAACTGTTGTGGATATTGCAAAAATCAGAGAAATGAAAGCCTGCAAAATTCTATGTAAAGCCTCAGTGAGCTCCATAGGATGTGCAATTAAACATAAAGCATGACAAAATGTTGTGAAACCCATGGAATTAACCATCATTATAGTTTTGTTGATATGCAGTCCTTTATTTTTTTAGGGTATTTTCATCTGGGTTTCACAACATTTTGTCATGCTTTCTTTTATTTTCTAAAATGTGATAAATAGTAACTTTGAGAGTATTTGCTGTGATTCAGTTAAAATAGTACTTTTTAAAATATTGATCTTGCACAATGGAACCCTACCTACTAATACAGTTTTGCATTTTTTAAATTTTCTGTAGTGCTTTTTAATTGAATTTTGAGCAGATACTATTGAATCAAGAAGTAAAATTGCCTATCTACTAGATTCAAATATTAGAATCCAGCTATTCCTCATGTATTTTAATCAGCTGTCCAGAATTGTTAGGAATCCGGCTGTATTCAAATCTGATAAATACATAGATCACCTCTTCGTGTGTGCGGTATGCTTTTCCTTTAAGAAAAAGTTTTTTCTTGATTGCATATGTGTACAATGAACTTATTTATTTCAAAGTAAATTCTAACTTTAATATTGTTTCTCTGAATGTACGGTATATAGAATTGCAGTCTCCAGTTGGGAGTCATTGCTTTCTGAACTGCATTCATAGCAGGGAATGGCATTATAAGTATTGAAATTGATCTTGAATTGTAATCTGCTTTGATACACCTGGGAGGCAGAAAGGTACACATTCCAACATTATCCCTTGTAAAGAGATTGTATTACTTCTCAGATAATAATCATTTTGAGTTATCTGAAGTCCTTGCTAAAATACATCTTTTGTAGATCTGATTTCTCTTTCTGCCCCTCCAATCTAGTATAAGCCTATAGTTAACTTGTTTAGTGGGAGTTATAAATCTTCAGAAGATACACACATATGCTAATAGGACAGTTATAGAGCTATTGTAAAATCATAGCAGGAAAGGAAGAAAAATCAATCTAATCTAAGTCATTTTACCTTCACTGGCTTTTCCATAAGTGACTTGAAATTATCTGTTTCTTGATTTTTTTTAAAAAAAAGTAAAAAGCGACCAGGCACTATTTAATAAAGTCTTTTGATGTAAATAGGTATGGGAATATTATTATTTTTTAGAATATAGTAGGTTGTGAGGAAGCAACATTTTCCCAGAAATAAATACTGGCAATGAATCTTTGTCACCAATTAGAAATGAGTTGTGTGATATGACCTTAAAATCTTAAACAATATTCATTTATGTGAAAAGGCATGCTGTAATGACTTTATAAATTGGATTAGTTTGGTTAAAATAAAAATTAAGTGGGAAATGTGATCCCTAAGATTTATACTATTTAGCCACAAGATGGCAGAAAATGCATGCATATTAAAAGACCAAGTGCAGCCCTACATCAGAAATTCTGTATGTGACAGCAAAGAATTGCTCAGCGATAGTGTTTTGGACAACACATTGTCTTATTAGTATATGTACAGTACTGTTCTGCTGAAGTGGTTGATAGAAACCAGGTACTACATTTTTCTTCCAGATGGTTTTGTATCAGACTATTCAGTTGTCAGAAAAAATGACATAGCTAAATAGGTTGACTATAACCATTTCCATGACCTCTACTACAAGCCACATAATTAGAACTAAAGAAGTTACTGTGTGGCTCCTGCCAAATGAACAATTTTGAGTCCTGAATGAAATTTGGCAGCACGTTTCAAGGAAGAAAGAATTTTATTATTAGGGAACCTATACCCTTAGGTCAGTAATGGCGAACCTTTTAGAGACCGAGTGCCCAAACTGCAACCCAAAACCCACTTATGCATCATTGAGTGCCAGGTGGGTGTGGCCAATTGGGTGGGTGTGGCTGTGGTGGTAATGGCAGACTGGGTGGGACTAAAAAGTTCAATCAATCAATTCCAACTTTGCAAGATTTTTTTTCCCGCAAGAAGTTGAAATTGACCGATTGAACCTTTTTTTTTTGCACACGGCGGCGGAGGCCTAAAGCGAAAAGGTTTTATAAAACCCAGCTAAAGGCCTAGGACTAGGGCAACGGCACGCGTGCCCACAGAGAGGGCTCTGAGTGCCACCTCTGGCACCCGTGCCATAGGTTCGCCACCACTGCCTTAGATAGTTTCTTCTTCAATAAAAGTAGATTTTGCCCAACCATCCTTTTTAGTTTGCTGATGGGGAGCGCTTGAGTATAGCATTACCATCTAATTGAGAAATTGAAGTCTTTATCCTATGTTCAGTTAGAAAAGAGGAAATAAAAAGCTAGGGGTGTAATTGTCAAATACTCTTTTCCTGTTTGCCAACATAAATAAAAAAAATCTATAATTAGTCTGGTTGTAATTTACTTTGAATAGTTGGTATTTAACTTTGTATTGGAAGGGTACTGCAATTTTAAGGACGTTGCAATTTGACTTTAAGTCCAATGATCTGTTAGCATGTCCAGCTATGGGATAATTTCAACACTGCATGTACCGTTGGATGTTTTGCATAGTTAAAATAGATAGACATAGGTAAAAGTCCTGCGAATGGTATGGTACTATGGTATGTTATTGTTATTTTACAAACAAGGATTCCTGTGGCATGTAAAACATTGCCAGAATTAGTATGGTATAAGATTATTCCATGATAAAATTGTTTGAAGAACAGAAGACTCTTTGCTATTTTTGTTTAACTTTGACCTGCTGTGTCATTGAGTGTTTTGATTGTGTATATATATTAACATAATATGTACTTTGCAATTGTTAGACAAAATAATTCAGGTATAAAATGACTTATATAAATATAAAATAACTTTATGACTAAAATGCTCATTAAGCTCAGCAACTGAACTAACCTGCCTTGATTTCAAAATCCTGTGGAGAGCTGTATCCTGTTTTCTCAAGTGTGTTTTATTGTCTTTCTTTTCTGTTACTGCTTTGTACAAAGACAATTAAACAACAGATAAGGTGCCTCCATTTAACAGTTTCCCCTCACTGTACAGTGGAAATCCTCACATTAAGGTGAAAGCATGTAAAAATCTCTTAAGTTGGCATCTCATCAACTCTTTAAGAAAATGTGTTATTTTTCTTTCAGTTCTGTATAAACTGTCAAACGTACAAAGCTATTTTAAAGAGATGTCCTAGGCTATTCCTTGTTGCAGATTGTATAATAGCCTTTCCTGAAATAATTTTTCAGTTTTGGGAATAAAGGCTAAATTACTGTTAAAATGTATTCCTTATCATCACTGTGATGGTAGCAATGGTGTTAGCAGTTGCAAATGTAACATTGAGCAGTACTACATAAAAGGTTTGAATTTGGTTCTTTATGCAGTTCTCTGAGGATAGACCCTCAAGTGGATTTTACATTTAGTTCTTATCCAACACAGTGGGTTTATTTTGAGGCATCGTAGTTTGATCCTAAAACTGCTTGCTGGGGAACTTTTAAATCCTATCTGATGTAGAAAGAATTAACTTTAAGATTCTGCTTCTGAAGGTAGTAACACTAGACAGATTCACTGCTGGAGGATTTGTGGGCCTGCCATTCATAAAGGTAATTGTTTTCAGATGTTTTGTAGGTTATTAGTCCTTCTGAATTCTTCAGTCAGACTTCTTTAGGACTTAAATGCTGAAGGCCATTCTGGGAAGATGGAGCTGGGAAAGCATTTTATTAAGAGGTCAAGGATGGATCTTTTTTCTACAAAGGGTCATAGCCCATTCTACAAAGGGTCATAGCCCATTCAGAGAATCAACAATAGCACATATCTCTGGGGTGAGGTCATTGTTCAATATATTAGATATTCTATGCAGAAAATACTGAAATTATCAATTGTCATCCCTTACAGGTAGTATGGATAACCAGGCAATAATACTCTGAGGTAGTAAATAAGCTTACTATATTCCTGGACTCATTAGGTTGCGTAGTTTCAAATAAACGCAAACCTTCCTCTCTTTTAACTGTTGTCCAAAGTAAAGATTTTGAGCAGAAGATCCATTTCCTTCTTTTTCATACGTATTAAAAAAAATGGGAACCAGTCCTTTTTTTGCATTTGACTATTTTACTGCTAACAATATTGTTCATATAGTGCACTTTCAATGGCATAAGGTTATGCCTTCAGAAACCTCTAAACTAATTCTTTGGATTCATTGCATCAAGTTTAGCTTTATCCAACTTGGTTCCCTCCAGGTATATTGGGACCATAAATTCCTAATTCTCAAGCTGGCTTGGAATTCTGAAAGTACTTGCCCTATCAGATTTAGAGGGAAAAGTAGCAGGCTAGGGAAACTAATGTAATTTTTTTCTGAAAACTGTCACTTACTGTATGTGCTTCATTGTATTACAATTATTTATGATTATGTCATTACATAAATCAAGGTTATTTTATCTCACGATTCGTCCATAACTATATAACTTCACGAATAAAATATTAATATTTTCCGTTTGATTAAATTTACACAAGAACAAGAGTCCGTTCTGTTATCGTATCTAAGGTGAAGTAGAAACTTCCTTCTTTTGTTTAACCTTCCCGACCTAAGTTTTGTTCCATCCCTAACCTCTTTTAGTTTGACAGAACGGTTATGTATCCTGAATATAGAAGAGGATGTGATGTGACTGAAAATTGGGTGGGTGGGGAACTTTTCATGCATGTATATAAATATTTATATTGTGAAGAACCATTAGCACTACATATTTATTTGGAAAAATATATTTCAGAATAATATAAAACTTTGAATTACTTTTTATTTGTCAAGTAAGGAGAAGAGCAGG